AACAAAAAACAAGAGAACCCCCCCCCCCCCCCTACGGTTGGGTTCGTCGCTTTTTTCACACCGGAAGAGATGGCAAAACAACAATACAACAACCCCAAGAGCCCCTACCCCTGCGAACCTGAAGAATTTGTTGAGTCTCTCGAACAACCTCCTCCCCCTTCATTTGACTAGGGTTGAATGTCGTCACTAATAATTCGCACCGCAAGTGAATAAGAACAGCAAAAAATCCTCAACCAACCTGTTGAAGGCTCCGCTGCAGGGCAAAGCTTTGCCAGCGATTGGCGCCGCTGACACTCCCGTTCGTGAGCACTGCAACCGCAACACAGCCGTGTCTCGCCGTCTCCAGTCTTACTCCGTTTCATGGCGCCGACTCCCCGACCATCGTTTGGTACGTTCTGGCTGAGTCTCTATCTTGGACCCCGCCGCCGCCGCCGCCGCCGCCCCGTCTCTCCTCGCTTCTGGTTCGAACATGTTAAAATAGCGCCTACTGGAATCTGAGCGGGGATCGGAAGCGTTCGGTCCGGGACCACGAGTTGATGATGCGCTGTGACCGCTACCTGCCTCTCGACGAACAGCCGGTGAGATGGATGTGTGCACATACTTCATGGAATGAAACTTGAGACTTGAGGCTTTAAAGGAAGACCGCGTCGGCAAGCATGCGCCGCACGTGGTCGGGTGATGAAGAAATGTACCAGTGCCGTTACGTTTAGAGCATCGTTGTCTTGCCCCCGTGATCCAGGAATCCGGGATGTGGGCGCTCTGTTTCTCTATTTTCGTCGTTACGAGTCCCGGAAGGTACACGAGCAGTGGTGTGATGTTCTTCCCCGCGTGTGCATGTAGATGGAACTTGTTGTTCCTTGTTCTTGTTCTTGTTCTTGTTCTTGTTCTTGTTCTTGTTCATGTTCTCGTTCTTGTTCTTGCTCTTGTTCTTGCTGTTGTGGCCGTCGTCGTCGTCGTCGTCGTCGTCGCAGTCGTTGCCATTGCTGTCTCTGTCTTCCCTGTGTTTCGCTGTCTGAATCGTCGCTCAAGTTCAATGTAGCGGTAGGATGGGAGCTATTTAGTGGAGCACGTCGTCGTCGAAATGGCTTTCTGCTATCGCCGATTATTTTGTTAGACGAGAGACGAAGCTCTGAGGGCCATGGTAAAGAGGCGGGAAAATACGATCATTCCAATGGGGTGAAATCGACGTCGGATCGTGGTCGCCACGAGAGAGAATGGCCCCACGCCTCAGGCTCAACGAACGCATGTCGTGACGAACACGAACGCAAGTCGGAACGAACATCTCGGGAAAGAGCAGTAGCAGGGCCGTCACGGCCAACGTAGGCAGCGCAGGGTCGCCAACTCCCGGCTGTCAACACTAACCATATCGCCGCGACGGATGGCGGTTGTGCCCCGCTTGGTTGTGCTTGCGCACTCAAGTCTCCTATCTGCCAGGCGTTGCGAGAAGGAGCGATTGCCTGTTTATCGCTCGAACGCCTCGTCGCACGTACATGGAGCACCCCGAAAACCTTACCGAATTTTGTTTTGTACCTGCTGTCCGGGGTTCGGGATTATATGTGATTTCGTGTTTCCACCCATGGAACGAACCCCCAAGGTGCTTGCGTCCCCCTTACAATCCACCTCCACCGGCCCCCCTTGTCCCTCATCATGCTGTAGGTTCGGGTTCCGACCGGAGAGATCATGCCGGTTCTTGGAACACCCTTCGATTTCACCGAGGGGGCGTCGCTCGGCGCCGCCATCGATGGCGTCGGGGGAAACCCCCCGGGTGTGGACAATTGCTTGGTGCGAGTCGGAACTTCTGACGGCGGCCAAGCTGCGGTACGTTACGCATACCGTCTTGCGGACCGCCGAAGTGTGAGGGATTCCGAACGTGGCGATGAAAATTGCATGAAACTCACGGCGGTACAAACCTGTCCTGTACCATGCTTTTCACCAAGAGAGATGATGCGCCAGAGCCAAGTTCCGTTGGAACGAGGGACGGATTTGTTGCACCGC